ATGGATTTTCAAAAATTCGAATATGGTTTACTGCATTTTTAAAATCTCTAAAGCGGATCTGGAACTGCCCATTTAAATAAGTCAAAACCCCAACATCAAAATCGGTAGAAAATTCTTCATCATTTTCAAGTTTAAATTTAAGTTCGGTTATAGCGTTCATCATGAACACACGTATCGTATCTTATTCGCTCCGTTATCGCTGTGCGCGCTCATTAGTAACTTATTACGGTCAGTATATTAACTAACAGTTCCAATTTTATAATAATATCATTATGATGGATAACGTTCAGAAAACTGGTCCCGCTTCGCCGAGTACACCAAAATCCACAAAACGAAATTTGTCATCCTCGTCAATTTCGGCAAGTCAAAATGACAAAAAAACTAAAGTCTATGTTACACCAAACCGTTTCACCCGACTTGCCACTAATGACATCAATGACGTAGCAACAACTACGCCCTTTATCAATCTCAAGGAAGATCCTGTGTACCGCCTTGCATTGAACGAGACAAGGGACCTCCAGCTCCACCTATCCATGTTAAGAACATTAAAAACTACTCCGCTTTCAATAAGGTATTAACCAATATCACCGACCCAAATAGCTTTACCTGTAGGTCAACGCCGTCATACAACCTGCAGATCGGGAAAATTCCAATAAAATCATTGACCATTTACATGAAAAAAATGCTAGCTTCCATTCATACACCCCCCGTCACCTCGCCCATAAAGGATAGTTTTCACAAACCTTTAATTTTCTACCTTAAGTAATGACATTTCTAGTGTCTTCGCTGAGTTAGGATATTCAGTTAAACACATATACAATGTTAAGAATAAAAACAAATGTCCTTTACCTTTATTCTTTGTGGATATTTTAACACAAGACAATAACAAAGACGCTCTTGGCATCGAGTTTCTATTCAATACCAAAGTTTCGATTAAGATACCACATAAAAAGGTACAATGTTACCACCACAATGTTACAATTGCCAACTTTACAGACATACGCGAAACAATTGCTGCTACGAACCTAAATGCGTAAAGTGTGGTAGTAATCACCTCACGAAAACGTGCTCCAAAGACCGTCATAGTCCACCCAAACGCGCGCTTTGTACAAAGGAACACACTGCAAATTTCAAGGGATGCCCAGTTTACAAAGCTACTTTCAAAAAAACAGTTCCAAATGTCCGTCCGTCCAAGGGCTCTAATTCAAACGACCAGTCCAAGACCAAACATGCGGAAGCCACAAAAGTTCAATTATCACACTCGGAGAATAATATCGCCGACACTATATCAACTTTTATTTCAAATCTAAACTCATTAATTGGGCCCCTTATCTCCCTTCTCATAACAGTCCTAAACATACTTAAATCTAATAGCAGTATTCCATAATCTTATATCTTTTCTTTTTATAATTATATTAATAAATATCCTCATTAACTCTATTCAAAAACGTCAAATTTTAATTTCAATAACAATCTCAATTGTCTTACCTAAACATTAATAATTTAGTATCATTATTATCAATATTATTTATATTATATATATGTTACTTATACAATTTAAAACTGTCAGAATATTTGTAATAACGCCCAGTATGTTGAAACATTTTAAGTTATAATAAATAAAAAAAAAAAGTTTGAGTTTGCTGCAAGTTAGAAAATGGGCAAGATTTTTCTCTTTAAGTTGCATTGTGAATAGAGTTAATTTTAATTCAAAAGCTTTGAAGTAGGTGTATAGATCTGAAATTAATGAGTTTGCTCCTTGAAGTTTTAAATTTAACTCATTCATAAATTGAGTTATATTAACGAGAAAAACTTGTTTCCATAACCATGACAAATCAGCTAACTCAGTGACAACACGGTTTTTTCCGTCATAAATATGTCGATTTATAAACATAAACGAAAAAATCTTTTCAAGACAATATTTAGGCTGAGCTAACGAATTTCACAATAATAGGGAATATCTGGGTACTCGCTTTCAATGTCAGCAAGAAAATTCTTAAATTGACGATGACTGAAAGCACTTTTTCGAATATAATTTATATTCTGCATAAAAACATTCATAACTTCAGACATTGGGAAATGTTTTCCACACAGAGTTTGTTGGTGGATAATGCAGTGAATAGCCATTGGTTATGCTGCTTCAGTTTCCAATACAGACATTTCCAATAGAAACATTTCCAACCAAACCTTTATGAGTTTCAGACATTTTTGACCTCCATCAGTAGGTATGCCTTTTAAAATTTTAAAATCAAGCCCCTAAACAAAATCAGTTTCTTTTACCTTTAGAAAAAAATTATCATCAGTATATGTATCTTGCATTGAATGGATTGCAGCAAATTCTTCTGTTATTTTAAAAAATTCATCGACTCCACGAATAAAAGCACCTGCGCAGAATCCGAAGAGTCGGCAGATTCATCCAAGGCAATTGAAAAATATTTGGAATTTTGAGCAGTGTCTTTTAATTGACGAACAATATCAATTCCGAGATGTGGTACGTTGCGCAATTGTATTCGCTGATAAGCTAACAATGAATAAATTTAATTTATCTGGACAAATTTCTTCAAATGTCTTTAGAATATATTTCTTTACGACCTCACCGTCAGTAAAAGGTTTTCCGGCTATCGCCAAAGTACGAGCTACTTGAAAACTTGCTTTTACAAGAGACTCATTTTGACGTGACCGTTTTGTAAAAATTGATTGTTGTACATCAATAATAATAACCACGCTGAATGAAAAATAAAAGCTTCACTGCAGAGTATTATTGAAAGTAACATATAATCTCGACAGCTTTGAGCTCGAGTTGCTCTTCCATTATTTTGATAATTTCTTTGGAAAATTTTAATATCTATAGTTTTAAAACTTGATTGAACTTGAATTATTTAAATGAAATAATTGTGTACGTAAATAAATATTTTTAAGATGTTTCAAAGTTATAAAAATATATTCTTATATTCATTTTCGTTTACATTTATTAGAAGTCTATAAAATACATTAAATAATACCATGGTGTTATTACATTTCACGATTCGGAACTCAACGGATTTTCCGTGAATTTTATTGGGTTTTATAACACAAATTCTTAAGAAAAAAAAAATTATATAATAACATATTGTTTATTAAATATTTCGGTATAATCTACTCGCATTAAACATAGATACATATGAGAAATATAGTTTAAAAACAGCCGCAATAAAGCTTATATGAATGAAACAATTTTTCCTTTTTATTAATAAAATATAACAAGTGTATTTTATGAAAGATAGTTAAATTTACTACCGATTTTGAAAATAGTTAAAGACCAAATTCCAAATATGAATTTTGTTGTAGTATAAAGAAATTTAATATTAAAACAAATACGTAAACATATTTTATTTTAATATTTCTTGTTTTTATTTTATTTGACTCATATCTTGAATAAAGTTATTTTGCCTCTAGTGACAGTACATAGACAATAATAAAAATTCAGGCAGATATTGGGTATGAGTATTTGTCGTTTGTTATGTTAGTCGTATTATTTAGTCAAATTTAAAAAAAATGATAAATCAAAAAACAATTCAGAGGGTAGACAAGTCGATATAATATTATGATGATTTATATAAATGTAAAAGATTTATTATGTAAAACAGCAATTTAATATATTTATTTTAAAATCACAAGTCAAAAAACCAAATAAAATGATTATTTTGTAAATAACATTATAACCAAAACCTCCTTTCAAATAAAAAAATAAAATTATCATTATTATTTGTGAAAATAAACTCTAAAGGCACATACTAATATTCAAAATGTTTACCTTAAAAATATCAAAACAAATATAAAAATATAAATATTTTGATTAATTAGGTATATTTAATTATAAATATTATACCTATATATATATATTTGACTAAAATTGATTTTTTTTTTTTATTTAAAAAAAATCTTATCATCTGAAGAATTATTGGAATCAAATTTTTATAAGTTACTATAAATGAGATACTTTTGACGAAGAAACAAAAATATCATTAAGCAAATTTTCATTTTATAAAGAATCTCACATATTAAATAATCAAAATATCGTTAAATATGAATCTTTAGCATGAATAGCTTCATTTTGATAAAATATGATCCCAAGGACGAAATAGAAACATAATTTTAAAAAGTATTGTGTAAACATAATCTTCCAATATAATATAATTAGTGTAATTATTATATATACGTGTAATATATACACGTAATACATTATACGTACGATTTAATTATTAAACATCGAAGAAGAATAAAATATATTATGAATATATTACAATACTTTCCACATGTTTACTAAAAAATACAAGGTTTTTGAACCTTTGTGTAAAAAGTATTTCATGGACATAAAGACATTGAAATTGCGTTAAAAGAGCATACTCGTAGTAATAGTATTACAATGGTAATATTATTTCAGAAATATTTTTTTTTAACAAGTATTGAATAGGAAAAAAAATTAAAAAACTGGGAACAAGACGAGGAACAGTCATATACATATTTTGTACTTTTTTTAAAATTGACAAAACATATGATAAAATAGTGTAAAAGTCATTAATTAAATAAAAAATAATTTACTCATCTCACTAAAAAATAAGTTGATTTCTTTTAACTGAATAATTAATTTTTAAAATGTATAATTACGTGGTCGGTGACAAAATGATACGAAGAGAAGTTGTTAATTTTCGAAAAGAAAATACTTCGAGGAATTTATGGTCCTATTTCTGAAAATGGAGAATACCGGATAAGAACAAACAAGAATATCTACCAGCCATTTAAAAAAATAGATAGTTAAATAACTTAACTTCAATATTTTAACATATTAATGCACAGTTGTGTCTATTATCATGTTATACTATATGACAAAGTCCAAGACTATTCTGTCAGAAAACAAAAATAAATTCAAACAGTACCATCGGTTTTTCACAATATCGTAATGTTATTGTTATTATTATTACTATTATAAATCATTTTGATAATTATCGTTTAGCACTCACCCCGGACGCACACCACTGCGGCCACAGTCTCCTTCCTGGACGAGCACACGACCTTGTGTTGGTGGAAACAATTGGCCAGAGAAGTTTCGTTGCCGTACTTGCACTCAATGGCCGATAATACGACCGGCATGTCCAGCCCTCCGAACCGGTCCGTCTGAAAGGCCGCAGCAGCATGTCCCATTCCCACGGAACGGCACACGACCATCGCTTCCAATATACCGAACCCGTCACCGCAAATCACTCCCCAGCCTACATTTTGATAGCAAAAAAAAAAACACCCGTATGAGATCAAATTAAAAAATATATATACCATTTATGTGACCAATAAATTTAGGTCGGATACACACTTAACAGCGACAACGCATGTAGATAAACAATTATACTATCCACCTCTAGTCAACATCAGTCAAACCTTAGCCATACCTTTCTTTTGTCTTCAAATTAATTTCTATCACCCGGAAAACATTATGAACAACGCGCATGTGATCTGTTCATGGAATTCAATAATTGTTAAACGGTCTGGTGAAAATAAAATAAATTGATTCATAAATTTGATTGATTCACAACCGCACTGTATACATTTGCCAAATCCACCACCAAGGTATGTATCGCAGCGTTTAATGCGCGCGTATAACAGAAGAAATAATATAGAACCCGTTACATGCATCATTTTATATATATAATGTGTATATATATATATATATATATATATAGTAAATATATACACGTAAAAGAATTGGAGCTCTATAAGGGGAGTTTTTTCGGAAATCGATAAGCACGAAAAAGACCCTCCGCTCTTGTACACTGCCCACGCTTCCAAAACACTCGAAAAAACATTTCAGAATTTACTACTATCTTTACGTTTTCATTGTTTTTCAACTCCCACTCCGCCTTGGTTACGCCTTTTCACCACTTCACAATACCATCAACGCATCGCTCGTGAGAAAAACCTGATTCCTACTCGAGCGCGCACGTATTTTCCCCGCCCAACACACTATCTTGGTCCCTTTTAAACACTCAATACTCTCTCGCTCTGTTTCTCTAATTCCCGATTATAACTATATAGCCGCATATATTTCTATTAAAATTAAACTTTACATTTGTCTTGACATTATATTATTATATTATTATGTTTGATTTCCCCCCCCTCCCGTCAACTAAAATATCAAACGTCACCGATATGTAAGAAATTTAAAAAAATATACCATTATCAATATATATACTAAAGGATAGGAAGCAGCCGGCGAATTTCTTTTGTTTTTTTCCGATATAATGTTAATTCGATGTGCTTTTGTGATAGTTTTCAGCCAACAAATTGAATAAAAATTTCTGAAGTGTATAGGTTTGTGACGCGCAACGGTGGAAGTGAATCGCGAAGAAGTGTATGTGCCCTACAGATCCACGTCGATCTGACACGCGCTCGATGGCAAATTTTGTGGGATTTATGAAGTCTACCATGCATAAAAGCATCTTAATAATTTATACCCACGAAGGTACGAATAATTCTTCTTGTTCGACACACGAATCGACGTTAGCTACAGCCATCACGTGATATTACGATGTAGGCACGTGGTGACGCATTCAAAAGAAGTTGTTGTAATATTATAAAGACGTAATGATCTGAATGTTCTTAGTGTAGTGTAAAAAAATACGATATTGAAACGAACGAGTTTTGGGTGCGATGGCCGAGAAACCAACTCCTATTGTCGATTCTCAACGTTTGTTCTGCAATAGTGCACATTAAAATAATATACGCACCGCATAAATCGCAAACGTACATCACGCGTATAATTATATGTAAATTGACGGAAAGTGAAACATTGCATCATTATTATAAATAATATACAAAATTCCGCCTTCGTCGTACACCGTGAAGCGGTTGCGCGAAATAAATTGTTATAACGTTCACAAAATCAAATAAAATACATTACGCGTTATTAAAGCATAAATCATTAGGGTTACGCGTGACACGAGTCATAATGATTTTAATTGTTACTCCTTCCCTTCCCTACTTCTTTAAAACATAAACGGTGGCTAATTCATCGTTTATGTGATACTGTCATAATTTACGTAGAATCGAAACCGCTATAAACAATTTTGGTGTGTTTACCGAAATTAGAGTAGACGCACGAAATATTCATCTGTGATCAAAACCAATTGTGACCGATTCGCTTTCATGTGTGCATGAAACAAAATATATTTTTATGTAAAATCCGCTATTAAACACTGATCGTGTTCGCAAACATTCAAAAATTGATTGATCGTAATTTCTTGATTCTTATGATGATATTATATTTCTTTGCGGGTCGTTAATACTATACTATATAATATTATACTTCAATCATAATGCTATTCCTACTTTCATCGAAAATAACAAGTATCGATATGAAATACCCACAAAATATTTGCATTAGTCGCCTCGCTTGAAATAATAATTCACATTTTATGTATCGGTACACATTTTTATTTTTTATTTCTGAAAACATTATAATTATTAATTTATCCAAATTTTAAATTCTGAGTGAAACCAATCGTTTTACCATGTTATCTGTGTGGGTTTTTTTTGTGTCTGTGTCCACGATCTATTGCAAAGGAATCGCTCCAACCATCACCAAATGAACCATAAATGACAGGAAATTAGTTCTAGCTCTAGAATTGAGTTGATACTTTCGGGGAAGGAAGGTAATTTTTTGAATTTTATAATATTTTTCCGAATAATTGAGAAAAATAGAGAAATATTGTTTTGTTTATTTTGGCTATCGTATTTGGATGTATTACAAGAGGGTTCTTATGTATTATATCCGAAAGTTTGATTTAATAAGGTATTTGGTTTATTTAAACTAATCATCGTTTTTATTGTTTGGAAAGTTTTGCGTTTAGATTGAATGTTTTGATAAAAGGGGCATTTCAGATAACTGCCAGGAGACTGTCTTTTACACAGTATACATTTGGGGAGATATTCATTTGAATTTTGACAATTTGCAGTCAAATGTGATTTGCTGCATTTGACACAAAGAGATTTCTGGTTTAAATATGTTTTCGTATGATCAAAATGTTGGCAACATTTACAAGGGATTAAATGCTGACAGAAAGAGGGTTCTTCTAAATTTATAATTGTGAAACAGATAGAAAATAACTTGTTAACTACTGAATAATACAAAATTCTTTACACAAATTTCTTATAAAATAATGAAGAATCGAGCTTCATTAAAAAAAAAAAATAATTACTAGCGTTTGAATTATAGATTTTGACAAAACGATAAAAATCACGAAAATTCACTACATTTTTTCTGTAAAAATACATGAGATTTTAAATTTTGTATTTAAGTCTTTAAAATTGTACAATAAATTATTCATTAAATTTTGTTTGTTGCCGAAAACAAAAACTGGAGAGTCACAAACAATTTTTGAATGTTGAAAATGAAATGAAATTTCGACGAAATTAACGGATTTAATTCTATGTACAACAATTATATTCACTTAAGTACTAAAGAAACGTAATTTATTGCCAGAGGCTATTATTTCTCTTTGCTCATTTATGAAGTATATACGCTATAATTGAATTGACATCAAATTTGTAGTAATTTATAGAAAAATTATATATTATTCCAAAGTCATGCAATATGAATGAGCATTTTATAAAATTGTTGGAGTAGTTTCTCAGTGTTGACCTTTAAAAGAAACATCCCCTGGGTGTGTATAATCCTTAAATAATCCAATATTAGGTTGTGCATACATAAAAATTGCCATTAAATTTGAACTTTTCTTAACTCTGGAAAGTTTACTTTATTAATTATTGCACTTTAGTAGGAATTAAGCAGATTTATAAGCTTCGGTGTAATTGTTGATTCGTTGTAAATTAAGAAAATGAGGATTATACATAATAGTTATACCCTAATAGTTATCTCGAATTTGTTATGCTTATAAACTTCTCCTTCAAAGTTCTATAATAATACTTATTCAGCACAGCGATAAGTGGCTATTCTACAAACTGCATTTTGTTAATTAGTAGGCTCACGGGAAAACGTAACGATTTTTGTGTGTACAGATGTCGGTTTCTAAACATAGCGCAGTTTTCACTTTTTTTCACTTTAATCTTATATAAATTTAATTTAATATGATTATATATGGTTGTCATAATTTTTTTTTCATTTGTTTTTATTGTATTTAACTTCTGTTTTCGACTTACAAGTAAAGCCCATTGGCAATAAAGGTTATTTTTAATATGGATGATAAAAAACAACCATGATATCGATTCATTCATACCTTCCAATGTAACAAATCCGTTGATAAAATAATCAATTAATACCAGGATTTTTCATTGTAACGCGCTAAAACATTTACATTTTTAAAGTTAGAAGTTTATAAAGATAACATTTTATCATACATTTAAAATGAACGGCTTGTGTAATTGTACTGAATATTTCATGTTACTTTTTTAGATCAGCGTTGTAGTTTCGAAAATGTTTTAAAAAACTTTGTAAAAACCATAAAATAAACATTTATATATTTTTTTTCCTAGTTTAGTAATATTTTATGATATCATCGTTAAAGAAAATAATAAGAAAAATAAGATGCACACATAACCTACCTTCTGTTTGAATGATCTTATGGAAACGATCAACATTTACAGAAATGATTAAATAAATTATAACTCAGGCGAGTAAATACGTATTTTAATCTTACAAGAAAAAATATATAACATATTCGTAAATATACGTATATATATATATATATACATATATATATATATACGCTACAAATTTATGTTCACGTAGCCTTGAATTAATATTGTAAAACGTCATTTAAACTAATAGGTACAAAGAACGTATGTACTATACATGTATAAAAATGTTTATATTTTCATTTGAATACTCATGGGAACTACTGGTACCAAGAATATATTTTTAAAACTACCTACCCTCTTGAAATTAAGTTGATAACAACGAAGAACACTAACGAACTGTAAATATTTACTATAGACATATTTTCAAGTGTATAATTTTATATCACAAGTTGAAAATAATATATTTAGTTTTGCCCGTATTGTCGTTCCAATAAATGAAATAAAATTTTTAGGGTTAAGCAAGAGGCGCGGCCGTTAAACCTAAACGTTCACCGGTCGATAAGTTAATAATGATAATGTGTAACTGGATTTACCATCGTTAGTCTTGACTTCTACACGGCCTTCTTCCGGTGTCCTGCCTCCGGCTAATCGCAACTCGATATTTGGTCCCGACGTGTCCTACAAGTACGAAAGCAATAATATAATCATAACAAATAATTGTAACACATTAATATTATCACTATGGACGTAACCACAGTTTATATACACGTGCATACTCGATTTGCCTACCCAGAACGCCCTAATACATTTGATATAAATTTAAACAACAATAACATAATTAAATTATTATTAAAACCGTTATTCATTATAGTTTCAAGTTGTAGTTTTTTTTTTTTTTTACTATTACTTAATACGGTGTATGTTCAAATGTTCAATGCTAAGACTAATGACGTTCCACATGACAACATTGGTCCCCGGCTATATTATAAATATTTAAAAACTAAATTTAATTCAAATAAATATTATATAAGTCTTCTCCTAAATAGCAATTGACTCAGACTCACGATACTGCATTTATCTATCGACATCATCGTCAATTTCTGAGTAATTTAATAATGTAATTGATAAAAAGACGAAAATATTTAAGTATTGATTATATCATAAATTATTTTAAAATTGAAAAAATAAAATTAATCTTCATTTTTAATTCTTCATTCTTTAACCGATTATAATTTTTTTTTTTTTAGTAAACAAATTATAAAATTACTTCACGAATAATATTTAAAAATAAAATAAAATAATGGAGAGTATACTAATAAAACAAAATAATACAAAAGTAATAATTTATGACGAGAATGATCGATATATAATAAAATTTTATTGTATTTATATTGTAGTACCACTACAATAATATTGATAACAATAATATAAAGGATTACACGTTTTATGGTTGTAAAATTTAACGCATATCTGTATACATAAAACAGTAAGCTGATTGACTGCTATCAACCCACAGCTCAAACCATTGGACGGATCTGGCTGAAATTTGTCATACAGATAGCTATTATGATGTAGACATGCGCTAAGAAAGGATTTTTCGAAATTTTGAATTTAAAGGGTTGAAATGATCCGAATGATTTGAATGATCAGAAGATAGATAGCGAACGATTTCGATACTTCGATTTCGATTCAATCAAAAAAAGCTGCGTGCAAAAGATTCTCAAAACAATTGTTAGATATTGGAGATGAGAAAGTTACTACAGATGAAACGGGATGTATAAAATTACCGAACGATTTCTGCACAATCATTTATTCGCAAGATGCTCTCATTGACCAGATATGTCCCAGTGTACACAGACAATACACAAATCATGAGTGGCTGGCAGAAAGAGCAATTTTAGTAGCAAAAAATGTGGAGGTCAACGAATTGAATCTCAAGATACAAAATTTGTTACCAGAAAACTTGGTGTCATACAAATCTAGATATAGTTTGCGGTGCTACTGAAGTTGAAAATTATCCAACAGAGTTTTTAAACTCATTGGATTTACTAGGCATGCCACCGCATAATTTACAATTGATCATTACAATTTACCATCGATAAAATACCTCCTTCAGAGCTTCAGAGTCATTTAAAGTTGTAATACATGCAGATAAAAAACCACCAGAAGAACATAGAGGCAGGTATAATGCACCAACGGCAAATGAAGTTGCTTTAGTGTTAGTAGATCAGCAGTTTGATCGAAGAGACATCATCCTCGAAAACCGAAGTAACTCACTTCACCGTATCAGTGAGATACATCGAGCATACGACGCACTGCAGTATCCTTTAATGTTTTGTTGGGGGGGGATGATGGGTATGCAATCAATATACCACAACGCGATCCAAAAACCAAGTTACCGCTTAAAAAAACTGTCTCTGCATCAAGTTTTTACTCATATAGAATAATGGTCAGAAAAGGGGAAGACAACTATTTAGTTAATTATCGTTCTCTTTTCAGTCAATATTTGGTAGATGAATACGCCAAAATTGAAACTGAAAGACTAAATTACATCAAAAACAACCAAGCCAAATTACGTGCAGATAGTTATATTCATTTAAAAGATGCGATTGGACGACGAGACATAGAAGCTAATCAGTTAGGCCAAATGGTTATACTCCCGTCAACTTTTACTGGTGGGCCAAGGTACATGCACGAAAGAACACAAGATGCTATGACCTACGTTAGACATTACGGTCGTCCTGACCTTTTTATTACTTTTATATGTAATCCTCGCTGGGACAAGATAAAAGAGTTCTTACTTCCCGGTCAAAGATCATATGATCGACATGATATAATTGCAAGAGTGTTTCGGTTAAAAGACAAAAAGACCATGAACTTATTGACAAAAGGTAAAATATTCGGAGAAGTGAGATGCTATATGTATTCAACAGAATACCAAACTGTAGAGAGGTTCAGGTAGTCGTAAGCTATAACTTATCGAATAGGTTATGATAATAACTAAATTAATATGTATAAAATATTATTTCAAAAATCTTAATTAATTTAAATTTCAATAGATTTAACAAAATTTAACCTTGGCAGGTTACATAAATTTATATACTTAAACCCGGCAACGACGGGTAATTCAGCTAGTAAAATATATTTGTTATTAAAATTCCTCTGAAAATAAAGATTTGAAGGACATGACAACTTTATGTTTGCGATTTACTGTTGGATACCGAGAAAGAAATTACGATATTGATACCGTTGTGCATTTTCAGTAAGTATAGGATTTTCTATGATTTACTTTGATCTTGTGTTTTTTAGTTTTCTTGGCCACTGCCACGTCTGATTGATTGATGGCGAACGTGTTCTTAGGTTTCTTGACTTCCGGTGAACTACAAATCACACCAGCAGCCTCGGACGGATCGCAATCATTTTCGCCCCAGCTGTCGAACCGGCACTCTGAAATCTCCAGCTCATGACCGCCGCACCGTATATTGTCCATCCAATATTTTCCTGGAAGAAAAGTGAAAACCTAATGGTTATAATGATTACATCATTTATGTTAGCTAACGAATTATAAAAACAATAGTAATTTTAGAATCGTGATATTATTACGAGCCGCTTGTCCGAAATGCGAATTGTGCGTGACACTGGACGTGCCATCGAAGCCGAGTTGTCTGCATATCACCTGGCCGTCACGTACATCCCATTCGTCATCACATATGGCTCCCCATTTTCCCAAGTGCAAGATTTCTACATTGCCTGAGCAAAAAAAGAAAATTAATGATTGAAAAGGTTGAGCTAGGATACGGGATTTGGTTTGTCACAGTTGTCTTTGAATTACTGAGTAATGATAAATTATCACGACAAAATGTATTTTCGAAATTATATGTTGGTGGAGAAAAATGAAGTTTATTTACATACATTAATATAAATTTACCCAATTGATAAACAACAAGTAAAGAATTATAAAGATAAATCTATAAATTATATTTTATATTTATTATTATATTATAGTAAGTATTGTATATACAGTTATATTAATATCATAATGTCATAAAAATCTCAGCAATAAAACTCTTAAATCATATATTATATATTTATAATAAAATAATAAAAATAAAATTAAATAAAAAAATTATAAAATGATTCATACTCGTAAATTAATATACAAATAAATAAACGAATAGCTTATATAAAGAAATAAACAAATAAATCACTAAAAGCTTAATCTGGAGTATTATTATTATTGTAAAGTATGACCGATTTTGAATTAAAAATTCATCGTCAGGTATATATGAAATCAATAAAATTGCGACTGAACATGAAAAAATCGCGTCCATGTTCAATCGAAATAGTATTGAATTTATATGCACCTATTGGCACATTTTTAATTTGGAACCAGCTGTACTTTACAAGTATAATAATACTTCAGGCTAAGTTTATATATATGAGTATATATATATATAAATGTTATTTGTCATATTAATCACTATGAAATAATACTTGAAAGTATAACTCAAAACTTAAAATAATTAGCTTGCTTTACTCTGAAAAAAATATTGTTAAATAATTTATTGAAGATATTGAGATATTTTACGAATAATTTCGACCATGTACATTTTCAACATTTCTTAAGTTCGTGTGGTTAAATTTTTTTAAATGTAGCGAAATTTTGCATTTTCCGCATCAGATGTATTTCCATGACTAGTGTAAGCTTAGGCATACATCATATTCAAATTTACAATATATTTTTAATAAAAAATGAATTAAAATACAAACGATTGAATATAAATACATGTGTATGTAAATTGTGACGAATGTTATACTAATCAACTTCACTTCAATTCTGTTTTAATAAATTATATACGTAATTTTTTTTGAATTCACTATTTAAAATATATATTTATTTTATTTATTAATAAAAAAAATAATAAGTGTTTTATTAAAATTTATCCAATGGTATTTATTTTGTTATTAGAACTTTATTGAAATATTTTATCTTGTAGTTTATGTAATAATTAAATGTGCCTATTTATTATGATTATTTAATTATTATTTATCAATTATCTATTTTTCAATTTTAATACTATTTTTCCTTTTTTAGATTTTCGTAATGTAATCTTTATATACCTTCAGATATTTACTGTATGTTATATTGTATCCTATTGTATTTGTATCTAAACTATACTATCTGTACTATTGGGCTTTGGCCCGTTTTATTCTACTGAATAAACTATTATTATGTTATTATAATGTTATTTAGGTACACGATATTTTCCGTTCGGATTATGACTTTGATCTGAAATATCTTTTTGTAACAATTTTAAATGAACACCTTAAATATATTTAAGTCAAACCTCGTGTTGAATTTTTTTTATTATTTATATATTGTTTTTTATTGTATTATTATTATTATTATTATTATTTTAACAAAAGGACCGACGGCACGATTTTATTACAATCCGACACCATCTGATCGGCGGTAATATTATTTTATTTGTGAAAAGATTATTCCATCAAATACTAAACAAAGTCTCTATAATTTTTGGCTTTTAATTTGATTATTATTGATGTTATAAAAATTCAATAATTTCCCGTTAAATATAAGGTCCATTTTCCCAGCCCTGCCATATTGGAATTTTTAATTTTTTTTTTTTTTCATTCGATTGTGCTACGTTAGTACCGTTTGTTCTACTTTGTCCCGCGTTTGTGCTGACTTCCTAAATCTAACTAAATTATTTGAATTCATTTGAATTAATTTTTTATTAGAAATGTGTAAAATTAATAATGAACTGGTTATAACATAATATACATATACAAACGATTGGGACCGGATCAGACCCGAAATTTGAAAGTGGGGGTGCAAGCATTTCCCCAGCACCCCCACAATTAAAACAGTTATAACTTAAAAACTGTTGAGGTACAAACGAAGGGACTAGAGGCACATTCAGGTACAAACGAGGAACAAACGATTGGAACCGGATCGGATCCAAAATTTGAAAGTGGGGATGCTGAGGAAATGGACTTCACGTATAGATTACTACAACACGTGTGTATAATATTATGCATACACGAAACACACGTACTTATAATTATGGCCTGGCCGTATAAATAGCACTCAATATTCTCGCTACCAAAATCTCTCCTCCCCCTCGGCACGAATTTTATCTCCAGACAGCTTGCATGGAAATCGAAAATTTTGTACGGCTGACTTTAACGATAGCTTTTCGTCAACTGACCGTCGTTGCAGTTATTAAATTAACGATAATCGTAATTACGCATAATTATTATTTTTATTACTGTTGTTATTTTATGTAATGTTCAAAAACTGCAAATTTTAGTTTTAGTACTCCATTAATATATAAAATATCAAATTATCGGAAAGTAGAAGCTGCCGGCGTGCAGGCAAAAAATGAAACTTAGTTTTCAAAAGAATCTGGTTGTTAATCAAAACCAAATGGCCCAGTGATTCTAAATTAGAATATATTTTTCAATGATTTCTCTTTCCACCAAATTTGGCTCGTAGAACTGTAAAGAAAATCGCATGGAACATATTTTACTAGCACTAGACTCATTTCAAAATTTCAGTATAAAACAAACTTCAGCAGTTTCTTTTATTACTTTAAGTAATATTTATAATCTCTAATAGAATATACAATAAGTAAAATAGTTGATTTATAGACAATACTGGACAACAGGGTAAAAGAGTGTGTTCAATTATATTACTTTACGAATGAGTTGGTGGAGTTACAGAATTAATTAAAAAAGTATTTTTTTTTTTTTACTAAACTTTTAAGTAAATTTCTTAGCCATTTTCTCTTGACAATGGGGAGCATTGTTAGAGAGATTAATATATGAGAGTTTAGATATAAGAGAGTTAATGTGATTGTGGGTGTCCCTTTAGAATTTGTTATACGTCGATTGGCAGAAGGTTACTGTCGGTATTTTTATATTCTGATGTAGCGTATTGTAATGATGTGCATTATTCGATTGTAAAAGACGGCACAAATATTTTATAATAATGTATACTATTCGTATGTACGTGATTCTAAACCATTTTAAATAAATAAATAACGGTTCCTTCGATATCCGCACGGACAACACAAATCGAACAATAAAGACTAATCTTCAAAGGACCGCCCAAGATCCATGCCGCCACATGTCCCTATATAACAGGGACACATACTACCCTTCCCAGAGCTCTTGATCTTAGGTTGTCAGTGCATGCGTTGCGATCGTAAGATCAATGAAGCAACTCTTTTTTTGGTCGTTTATGCATTCAAACCGATCATAAGATTAACGAGAGAGTTTATACGTGCAATTTATTTTCACTTGTGATTTTAATCCGTTCGACTTGTGTTCTTCGTACGAGTATTGAAGAGTATCCGGTTCCAGTGCAATTAAATTCTGCATTTGTCCTTTTTTTTCAACCTCGCATCGATATCTGAAGGTTTACAGTAAAACAAGTAAGTGCTGCTTTATTTAGCTTGGCAGACTGTACAAGTACGCTGATCGGCTCTCGAACGTTTACAACCCTGAGAGCCCTCCCTTTAACAAGGAGGAATGTAACAACCCTTTAATAAATTAATATCTCACTGCCATTCATACATATATACCACCATCTCCCCCTTTATTTTATTTTTGTATTTTTGGGTTATTACAGTATGGTTACTTACAAATCATGAAACATTAGAAATTATTGGAAAGACCGGAGAAATTTTGGCTACTCTTAATTAGATGTCATAAGTCATAATTTAGACGAATTAGTTGTTTTTTTTAAAGATTTTTAGTGCCGAGAATATTCATTTTTTTAATTTTAAAGTTATCTAAGTTGATGGAGTTCGGGTTAAGTGCCTTTCTTTTTAGTTTAATATGGTTGGTCCAATTAAATTCTTAATCTCAAAGAATATTTAGGTATCTAACGATGTTTTAGTGAATGATTTTGTTATTATTTATTTTTATTAATTTTTAAAAAGACATATGACAGGACAGTGCGTAAAAGTAATGTATACAGATGTATTTGTCTTAACCTTTATCTTCCAAAGTTCAAACCAATTTTGAAAATCGTATAAATGATTATAAAGATCCTTGGATATACGGGATAAATCAATATTTAAAGTGATAAAACTATTATGAATACTTTTAAAAAATATTTTATACAAGTATGACACATTCAGTTTAAACATAATTTTGATTTTATATGTGTTTATAACATTTTTTAAGACAATAACTGTCATTAATTATTGTTTTTACAAATAATGTTAATTTTGAGATTTTTTATTTTATTGCATTTGCACAAACAATTTTAAGTAGTTTATTGTTTAAAAAAAGGTAATCCAAAAAATTATACAAAAGGAATATCTGATAATGATTTTGATAATGACTTTATTACAATCAACTTTGGATAAAATAGTTTTGGTATGATTTGTCATTTATTTTTTATGTTTAGAGAATAGAAATAAATGGGAATAATTCAATATGGTTACATATTAGATAAAATCCAATTTTTTTTCCTACGCCATGTGCTTAAAATTTGTATTATATTATTACATTCATCGCATTTTTCCAAACTCTTCACTGTAGCAGAATATAAATAAATTATTTAATGTTCATTTTCTTTGTCTCTCTAAAGTTTATTTTAAGACTTAATTATTTTAAAATAATTTTTCTCTTCAATTGCTAATCCTTTTTTGGTATAAAATTATCATGCAGAATACTTGAATGAAAATATTGATGTATAATACTTATACAATACAGAGAAAAATATGATTTTCTTCTAAAATAAACGTTTGAAATTTTCAGCGTTGACCGAGTAGTGGAAAAATGTTTTACCATTCCTCGCACTTTTAACACTCCGTTGAACTTTTATTTCTATTAACATATCATAACAACTAATATTACGTAAAATTAATGTTCGTATGAAATTGTACAAAAAAATACATCACCCTTTATTGGAAAACATTCTAAATTATAACATTAAATTGAAAATATTTTGAGGTTAAAATAGGAGATTTAAAAATAAAACATTAAAAAATCATAATTACTTTAACACCATTTTAATATTCTTACGATCCATGTCACAAGTAAAACTATTAATTCGATACTCAAATTATTTTTTTCTCAATAGCTTTATATTTGAGTTTTTGTAGTTTGGCCATCATTTATACAATACACAATAAATTAGCTTACATTTAAATAATATTGAAACACATATTGAATTTAATACGTAAAGGTGGTTGGGTGTATTTAAAAATATTGATTTTGGTTGAAATATGAAAGTTGTTCTAAATGTTTGAGATTTTTTTGTTTCTTAACAGATGTACAATTTTATATCAATCATATCACTACTATAATATTATAACTTAGTATATATTATTAAAATTTACTTATTCATCGTTGAATTCAGTTCATATATTCTTTACGTACTTATAAAAAAAATTCATATTTTAATATATTATAAAAGTCTAAAATATTATAAAAACAATTTTAATTAATTGATAAATAAAGTAACAATAAAATTATGATTAATGGAATCAAGAATTGTAGTTTTCAAAATATATTAAAAGCTGGTTTTTATTCTAAATTTCTGAGTTCCGAGATTTTTTCCTAGAATGTTGGTAAATTTACGTTAATTGATGTTTTTCATAATATTGTTGGATTTGGAATGTAAAGCCTTCCGTAATTCATTGATATTATACGTTATAACGAATAAGGTACTTAAAAAAAAGTTATTAATTTAATTTACAAAATAATGAGAATTATCCCGAAAAAAAATCAATGAACTTAATGTAATATCTAAAATAAGTCAGTATTATTTATTTTTTCTATGTTTCTTAAAAGCTCCCAAATTTACTTTTTCAGTATTACCCAATAATACGTATATAGTAATAGTTTGATTTTTATTTCCCTAGTTTTTATCTTAGCGAGTTTTTTCGGTTAATTTTCCTTATAATATGTACTTTACTAAACTGAAGAAGAAACTTTTTTCTATTAAATTATAAGATATGAATTTATTTCACTCTAATAACCAAAAAAGTTATCTAACTCGTTGGAAGTAAAATAACTTGCTTGGAAGACTTTAATCATTAGATAATTTTGTTATTTTGTTAGAAACTTAGTTAAATTCAGCTGTGCACATTACATACATTAATTCTATACTAACAATTTTGGTCATATGTATGTATACAGAGGGAAAAGATCCATCCACCGAAAACCTGGCCAACATTAAAATGTATGTATTATAATTTTTATATTATATTTTAGTTATAATGATTTTCGACAAAATCTAATTTTTATTTTAACATAACTAAAAAAATAATTGCCATAAAGCCTTGAAATTATCACTTAATGTTAGTATCATCGTTTTCTATAAATGGTAAAATTCTTAAATTATTTTTTTGAAACATTTATACATAGTTGAAAATATCATGATTTCTTAGCTTTTTTCAAAATGTTCGGTAAAATAACTTTATCTTCAAAGCAAAAAGCGTAGATGATTTTATAAAAAGTTATTTTACAAATCTTTAACTGATTACTGAGAAAATATCTATTGTATCTATCTATTGTATTTTATATTTTGACAAAACGATAAAAATCAAGAATATTCGCTTTAATTTTTAATTAAAAAATTCATAAAATTTCAACTTTTCTATTGAAGATTGAAAATGTAATACTAAAATTTCCAAAAAACTTTTTTCTTAGCAAAAAAAAAAATAAGCTGAAATTCGCACTAATATTTTATGAGCAATACAAAGCTTTTACGTATCTCAACGATTATCCATTAATCAATTATTATCAAATAAATATTAAACGTAGCAACTCAAACAATTTACTAAGTATTTACTAATTATATTATAATTTTAAAGACATTTCATAGATTCGTAATGTTTTAATAAAATTTGTGCTGTTTATTGTCTGTTGAAATTTTCGATTTTCCCAAAATTTAAATAATTTTTACTAATATTAGAATATTAAAAGTGAAATCTACGTTAAATTTAGTAAAAATAGTTGCTTTATCTATTATATCAACAAGATGTAAAATTATAAACTGATCGAGTAGACCACATTCACTCAGCTTAATTTATTTCATGATGTATATTAAATTTGTTTCAAGTTTAAAACATTAATCAGCAATATCATTTACCCACTCCAAAATAACTTCCAACATATTTATATGTTTTATACCACAAATTTTTAATTTTATAATAAGTATTTTGTTTTTTTTTTTTTTTTATTGATATACAAAATAAGTTTTTACTATCTATTTTATTATTATTGGTTTTATATATATATATATATATATGTAAACTATAATTTATTCAGTCCATCGACTTTGTTAAGTTAGTCTGCTCGATATATTATTCGATCTAATGCTATCTACCATGTAGTTTATTATCCCAGTGACGTGATCTCGTAAGCCGGTATATTTACAATAGTATATCTATTTTTATTAAAATTACTCTGTGCAGTTTCCCCCACTTGGGTTGCTCTTTCAATCATTATACTTGGTGCGCACCAGTACATAATGTATGATAATCGAATTGACGTTCAATTGTCTACAAATCTTTAACGGTTTACTGTATTTTTATAGCACTAATAGTGCTTTATTGTGGTCTACTGTGCAAGTATAATTTACTCTTGGTTTTGATTAATTGACGTAGCGCAGTTGAAACAGACAAAACCAAACCAAATCCTTTTTGACATTCAAAAATGTTCAGTTACTTTTATAAAAGTCTCTAGGAAGATATTGTTTATTATTTTTTTTTTTTTTTTACAAATATTTAGTGATTGACGTCAAAAAAAATGACCCCAATAAATATATATTGATTACTCACGTACACGTTTATCGACATAATTTATATTCTGTGTATTATACGATATAAGAATAATAAATTACGGATTATTATGTGACATTTTACGAGCGATTGCTGTATGTGTGTGTGTGTGTGTGTGTGTGTGTGTGTGTTTTGTTGTAGTCTTTTTAATCGTGTAGTTATTTTACTTGTTTTTTACGACTGTAATGAAATAAACTATGAACGCTATTAGCGAAGATTCACCAGATCGGCGGTCTGAGACTGCGACTTGTAGTATCGACCCACGTGATTATCTGTGTGGGCTAATAATATTCTGTAACGATATTATTATTTTATTGTCAGCCCAACTGCTATCATTTATATTATGTATTATTATTACTATTTTCGATATTAGTATTATTATTGCATTTGTGCATGCATAATACGGCTGACCATATTCCCAAATACGGGAAACCTGTGTGCCGAACGTTTCGGATATGTTATTGACACATGTGACATAGCCTACCCACGACCCGGAGCTTCGACGATGACGGCAATAAGGACGGATGTCATAATTTCCGAGTACAAGGGTATTTCACAGTCGGCTGTCGAGATTATTCGTGTCCACAGCTGCTATATACATGTAATATGTAAGATAAAACGTACTAACGTAACCTAACCTAACCGACGCCTCCCAAAAAACATCAAAAATTGTACAACAGAACAATTATAGACGATATTATTATTCGTTTTAACTACATGTTTACTAAAGTTATTTGCTTTGATATCAGGGAGCCTCATAATGCAACTGTTAATTAAGAATACTGTCTTGGGACATTTTAATTAGTCCAATCAACAATAATAATTTAATGAAAAAATAAAGCGATAAAGAAATAAAGATCATATATACGATTAGTTTTCGAAAATTGTCACTATACATGTATCGGCTGATTAATTATCTTTATGCTTAATATTAGTTAAATATAATGTGTAGTCATGAATCATATTAAACCAAGTCCAAAGTTAAATATGAATGGCCAATCAATTTTCAAATGCATGTCAAGTTATCAAGATATTTTTGAAACACGCCGAGTTTTAAATGATTATTCAATTTAATAATTATCATTAATATGATTGTTTTTTAAATTAAAATATTGTTTAAAATCTACAAGTATACCATATTATTTCATATTTATTTCAAAACAAACATCTCTTTATATCTCAGGTGTGAAATTTTGACCGAAACGATTAGGATTACAAAATCAACAATTCTTTAAATACATAAAAACTTAAATTAAATATTAAAAAAAAAAATTCTTAATAAAGTATTTAATCGATTATATATGAAGTACTGAAAAACGGCCGAGGAAACATAATTACCATCGAAAGCGTAAAACATTGATTTGTTTAAATATAATAATTTTATAAGCCTAGAAACTTCAACAATTATTTGGAGAATATCGTAAGGTAGTGGCATTTATTCCTAAGTTTTTAAATATTCCGATGGAAACCTAAACGTATTCAATAATTGCGTTCGATAAAAAGATCAAAATTGTCGTCTAGCTGTCAAAAATAAAAATGGGAAATTCCGCGAGAGTATCAACCCTACTACACGTTTGAATAAAATGAAATACGGTATATATGGTTTAGTCGTGTGACGGTACACAAAATTGTGTGCTCGCGATAGAAATTCGATCAGATTGTAACGGATGAAATATTTTCCAAGACAGATTAACGGTGCCGCTGAGCTGGTGAATCAATACAAGGGACCGCTAATCGGGTACGATACAACGGAATATGATACCCTTTGGCCTATGTTTGGACCACGACGTTTTTTCAAGACATACTTTACTCTGACTACACACGCACACACACACTCGAAATATTGCTAAATTTAGACGTATTTCGTTCCGTGTTGCAATTTCATCGTACCTTCATGCTCGGATTCGCCGTCGACTAGACGCACCATGCCCTCGAGACTCTTGTGATTTTTCAAATGGTTCTTGATCACGTCCGTCTTCCAGTGGTGCTTGCGCTTAACAGCCAAATGTCCTGGCGGCAGCAGTAATAGTAACATTAAGTGCAGGCTCAACGCGACCAGCACCGCTGCGGCTGGCCAGCGACCGCACGACCGTGAACCGCGACCGCAGTAACCCGTCGTCTCGACGTGGGCGACCATGTTTCATTTACCGACCGTGTACTGCAGGACCGGTCCGCGGCGTCTGATCGGAACACTTATCGGATGGCTTGTGCGGCTGCGGCAAGACTCGCGCAAGTGACGACCAACGTGGAACTCATTACCGTCCGAATTCGTTCGTTCCCACCACGTTTGGGGCGACTCGTACGCGCGTGCGTCTAGGTCTGAAAACGGATGTCAAGGTGAAAAAAAATAACCCGAACAGGCTTTACACTACCTTATATCATAATAATAATGGTAATGTAAATATGTGTCATCGTCGTCCTGCCGAGGACGCGCCTCGCCCAACAGACGGTTTGTCCTCCCCCCTACGTTGTAGACGACGCGTTTCGCAGGCCGCGAGCGAATTCAATAATTACAGCACAACGGTTTCCGGTTAAAAACTCTGGAAAACCGATCTGGACGACGACCAAGATTCGCCAACGGTCTACTCCGATACAATCATTATAATGCTACGATGATATAATCGTATAATGTAAAATATACGAACGCACAATGTTTTCATTAACGACGACGACTTTAGTTCGCAGTTAATTATACGCGCTCGGAACTTTTGTGCTGAACAACAATCGAGTACGAGTATTAAATTGAACGCGCATACGCACGTACTACAAAACGTATATTCTTATATATATTTATATTCATCTTGGTCCGATTGTTCTAGAAAAACCAAATGCGCGCAAACAAGTCATCGGGCGAAAACAATGAACCTGAAAGACTTCGTGTGGCAGCAAGTCCGCCAGACACTTGTCTCTCACCTTCTGCGCGTTTAATTACGTAGTAATTGGTTTTTAGGTATTATATATTATTAATAATATTTTATTCGTAATGATCGTAAAGGTATTCTCTTTATTCTACGCGCTTATTTTTCACGAAAAACGATTGTACCATTCGTTTAACGATATCATACCCCACGCATTGCCATATCTCTATCGATATTTTATGTATGCAAAAATTTATTCCGATCCTATTAGATTCGAAGAGACAATGATAATAATACGCGCAATAAAGACAATTAAGACTGTCGTGACTTTTATTAATGCACACTTTATACAAATCGTATATTCGAAAAAGAAACTTTTCACAAAAACTAATTAATCTTAAACATAAGACAATGGAGAAGAAAAAAAATATATATAAAACGCCTTTGATTGTTTTATTCATGTGACACTCGGATTTCCATAAACAATTTATATAAAACTACTTATACCCGTGTATACGTATTCGATGTGTATATTTATCATACACACTACGCTGCAAATATAATTAAAGTTGAGTTAATTGTTCTACTCGAATTCGCCAATACGACGTGAAACAATAAAAGCTATTATGTGTTTGCAACACAATGATAATTTGATACACTTTGTGCCGAATGCAGTGCACGCCGCTAATAATATTATACAATCGATTTCGAGTATTCGATCGTCGTTAGTAGTAACTAGTATTATTACGTCCCAAGTAACGGATCTACAAATGTTGTTGCCCGGGGAACGACGTAATATTAGAGCCTTTAAGAGCTATAGATAAATAATTCACCTAAAATCAGTTCATTTTTTGATTATTGTAGGCGATTTCAAAGTATATCAGATGAAATTCAATGTTCACTCTATTTATATAACCATATGTTACGAAAAATGATTATTTTCAATCTTAAAACTTTAAAAAATCTTAAAAAAGATAATAGGTTTTACCTTAACCTTAATTTACCTCTTCATTTTGTAAATATATATATATATTTAAATAACATCTACTCCATATACTCTATATAACTAAACTAATAGTTTTCATATTCGTATTCATATTCTTTTAAACAATTTTGTTCATTATGTCTTTATAATCGTCTATGGCCAACCGATGCAATATTGGTTTGTCTAAACCAGCGGTCACCAATTAATTTTATTAAAGGGCCACATTAGGAATCTGAAAATTTTTTGTGAGTCATTAAAATTCTAAGTATATATTTTCAACATATAATAGGACAATAGGACTGACTACGTAAACGTAAAATCAACTAGCAGTCACCCAATGACCCAATTAAAGTTTAGATAAGATATGCTTTCCTACCAATTTATCAACAGTTGTCGGTGAAAACCAATAATATTTAACAAAAATAATAATTTAAAAATAATAACAATAACACATAGAATATTGTCGTAATATGTGTTTTTATTTTTTGTCTGCGGGCAGGATAAAATTTGTTTGCGGGTCGCCATTTGATACCCCATGGTCTAAACTGTCAAGTGCCACGCTTTTACAATTTTATTAATACTATTATATCGAAAATATAACATGACAATCGTCGTTCCACATTCTCCGATGATATCTAGTGAAAATTCCGACTTTGTTATATTAACACTTGTGTAACAATTATATGCCAACAAAAGTTTGAATTTTATTAAACATTTGAAACTTAGCATCCGGGAAACAATCCCCGGGTTAGCCGACACCCTTGGACCCGGTGGCTACCCAAACACACTGTTTTGCAGTACACGGTTATCCCGGGCGAATGTAAGTTCCTATACGAGAGTAGTAGGTATAAAAAATACGTACGTTAGTTCCTACGCGATAGAAAAAGGTACATATATAAGTTCTTACACTGTAAAAACTAGGTAAAAAAAATACTATAACACAACACCACGTATTTACATTTTCTTTAGATGTAAATGATTAAAAAATTTAAAATAATTTAAAACTAGCAGTTGTTTGCCTTTTTCACTCAACATGAATGATACATTCTCGCTCATTGTCACTGATATATACGGATATGTATGGACACACGGATGATTCGAACAATACTAATACTTTTAAGCTAGATGTACATTTTACGGTGTATGGTTATAACAAATTATAAGATTATCAAACCTAAATTAAGTTCTGCATCATTTTTATCCGTAATGAAAATTCGTAATAATAAGATATTTTATCTTTCCTATGTCGAGTCGGGATATTATAAATATTATCAGCCTGTAGCTTGTATTTTTCCGTAATTTCGTATACGTTTATCAGATACTCTAACATACTCGGGCCCGTATTTAAAAATTTGGCGCCCCCGAGCATATTATTTATGCCTCCCCCAAAAAAAAAAAATAAATAAATAAATAATAATAATATAGCACTTATTATTTCGTCCATAATCGAGATTCTTTAGTATTAAAATATAATTTATAAATTAAAATCGTTTAATAATTTTTTTAATTAACAAATTAAACAAATTATAAAATAAATAAAACATACTATTTTCATTTTTTATTGTTTTATTTTTTTTTTCATTAGCTACATCATTTTTAAAATTAATTTTGCTAAAATATTTTGCCGCCTCTGAGACTTGACGCCCACAGGCGTGTGCCTACCCGTGACTCCCCCTAAATACGGGCCTGAATATACTATACTCTAAGAAGTTAATTAAAAAATAATCCAACATAGCGATACGCCTGTTGGTGCTGTGGCACTTCTATACATTGTTTTTTTGAAGATTTTTATGTATATATTTAATTTTTTCCGCCATGTAGGAACTAACATACGTACCTGGTTCTTACCGTGTAGGAACTAACATATGTATCTAGTTTTAACCATGTAGGAACTTACATATCGAGGCCTCAGTTCAATACTGTAATAACTCAAATTATGAAACTACTGGTTCTAGAATGAAATAAATTACCTCTAGAGGTAAATAATGCAACTAAAAGTTATTGCGTGATAGAATCGAAATCATCGTCATTTTGTAAACAATATCACGTAGATAACTCAACTCTGAATATTTTCAAGTTATTGCTGTCTTGAACTGAGGCGTCGATATATCCGTGTAGGATCTAAGGTATGTAATTGTTTACCTGCTACTCTCTTGTAGGAACTTACTATTCCCCGTCATCCCGACTCCCGTCGTGATCGCGACATGAACGCATTGTGAAGTACCCGTATGGGTGTGTGTGATGTAACGATGGGCGTGGTGAATATTTAACAGTCGTCGCGGTTTTCCTAAGGCTTCTCGTCATCTCGTTCGATATACGTTTCTGCGGTTTTCCGGGACATCGATCGCGTGACGTATCACATATTGCACACGATATCATTACAATAATGGTCGGGCCGACTTAACTCGTACACGCGCGCACTTTGCCGTGTACGTGTACGAGACGTGTGTGCGCATAAGCCGATCCCGCAAAAACCCTTCACAATAACAGGACGCGAACACCGGTCCTGGGACAGATTTACGTTGAATGTATTACGTTCTCGGTCTTCGCGACATCTTCCGTTTCGAAACTAAAACAGCTAAATAATCGTGTGCACCGTGTGTATTCGCTATAAAATCGAGTCGTTATTATAATTTTTATTATTGTAGGCGTGGCTTTCTTAACCTGGATTTGCACGTCCCAAATGCGTAAAAGTAGACATGATTATTGTTTTCATACTTCGATACAGCATGATGATCTCGGTGCATGATTCGGATAGGTATACGGAAATTAGTATTACTGATATTTGAATACTACACGCAGGGGTGGGTTCAAAGGAGTCCCAAGGGGCCGCCCTCCATAAGCCCGTACCGTATTTATATATTTAAAAAAATTATATTGTTAATCAAAAATGCATATTATAATATGCGGGATAGTCGAATTGCACTTACTACCTACAAATAAATGGTCGAATTGCACTTGGATTGAAAAAAGGTAATGGTTGAATAGCACTTGAGTAAAAAGCAGGTAGTGGTCGAACTGCACTCGTTCAAAAAAACTGTTTAAATGGAAAATCTTTTAAAAATATTACGAATCTTTCTGTTGAAGAACGCTACGGTGTACTCATTTAACAGCATTTTAAATTCGTGCCATTTAAATAACGCAGATAATATTATATAATAATAACATATATATTCAGAAGCGTATAACCAGAGTAGAATTTTTGAATACAGTTAGTCATAACTACAAAAAATGATCAAAATGACAAAAAAAAATTATAATAATGACAATAATGAAATTTGACAATTAAAAAAAAAATGTATAATATAACAATTATAATGTAATTATATTTAGTTAACATATAATAATGTAATTTATATAACAATAATTTTTAACCACACCAATGGCTACTCAATGATAATAAATGGAACTAAATA